TTTCTCTTCCATTCTCCTCTCGGGATTTTGGACATGCATGCATGTGCACCCTGCATGTTTCAAGCTACCAGGTCCAGGCTTTGAACCTTAGTTACCCATGTGGGAATCCGACACCTTAACTATCACACTACTTGCTGGCTCCCTGAAGCTATCTTTTTGTGTTGCAAAACAAAAACTCAGAGGAAGTGAGTTTCGAACTTTCTCTGGATTAATTTCTGATTAGAACAAGTTGTCCTGGGACCAGCAGATGGTGTAATGGTTATGTTGCTGGGCCCCCACATCGTCCACAGTGGTACCAGTCCTAGACCAGTGGCTTAAAACATGCCAGACACCTGTGCGTGCATGTCCAAGATCCTGAGAAGAGAAGGGGTTGCAGTGTGGCCATCCCCTTTGGGGGGCAATTTCTCACTTTCTGTCCTTCTGTTTCTTTAGTGAATACATGTGCCTTATAGCAAAAATCTCTCTTTAAAAACAAAACAAAACAAAACAAGTTGTCCTCAATTTTTCTGTGGAGGTGCAAGGGATTAAGGCACTTATTTTATTTTATAATGAGAGGCAAACCATTATTCCTAAATAGAAAAAATTTTTCCCCTTCTTCACCCTATTTTGGCCTTTTCCCATTGGGTGATAATTAGCAAGATTCACTCTTAGATGCTAAGAGAAAGTGCTGATGCTTAGAATTCAAAGTAAAAGCATTCATACACATACACACACACTAGAGGATGTCAGAACGTTTGTGAAAAAAATGTAATTTAAATATTAGTTTATTTTGATACAAGTTTTTTAATCCTTGCATAGTTTTTCCATAATACTCATTTTCCATGTGCTTTTTGAAGAGAGAGAGAAGTCTTTAGGGAGCAGTGTGATTAAAGCAATGCTAGATTATCTTCATCAGGCTTTAAGAAAATGCATGCACAAACTATGTCTATTAGGAAAACTGTGTGTGTATGCAAGTCAGGTGTTATCTTTGGTTTAATGAAAACTTAATTTGGTCCTTATTTTAGTAGTTAAGGCAGAAAAAATATTTCCCAAACCAGAGTGCTCGCTGAAATGTTGTGTCTCTTTTTCCAGGCATATTTATACTAGAGTCACCTTTCTTCCTTTTCTTCCCATGATCCTTCTATTCTGTGAATTATTATTTTTAAAACATTTATTTATTTATCTATTCATCTGTCATGATTTTTCAAGTTGTTGGGTTCAGAGCTGGAAGTTTGGTCTGCCATGTGGGAATCTAGTACCTTAACCACCATGCCAACTGCTAGGCCTGTTCTGTGAACTCTTTTTTTTAAAAAAAAAATAATTATTTTATTTAACTTTATTTATTTATTTATTTGAATTTAACCAGAGTGAGAGAGAAAGGGAAAATGAGAAAGCAAACTGCCAGATCCAGGACTCGAACTGTGGTCAGCCATGTGGGAGTCCAGTGCCCTTTACCACCATGCCACCTGCCAGCCCCTGTGAATTCTTTTTTTTTTTTTTTTTGCTATAGGGCACGTGCGCTCGCCAGACAGAGAGAGACATAGAGACAGAAAGCGAGAAATCACCCTCCAGAGGGGATGGGGGGATGGTCACACCGCAATCCCTTCTCCTCCATTCTCCTCTCGGGATCTTGGGCACGCACGCACACACGCGCCCGGCGTGAGTTTTAAGCCACCAGGTCTGGGACGCGAACTGCGGTCGACTACGTGGGAGTCCAGCGACATAGCCATTACTCTAACTGCTGGTTCCTAAGCTCCTGTGAATTCTTTATTTCAGTGTTGGCAAGCTCTGGCAAGAGCAAGGGCTTACCTTTCTTAAATCTTTTTAAACCAAATGATCAACGAAAGGATTGTGAATTTTTTCCACTATGTATTAAAAAAGAAATTTTATGCTCATCCATACACATTAGCTATATTTGAGAATACTATAAAAGATTTCTAAGGTGGACAGTCTTTGAAGTTACCAATATGTCCATAGTTCTAATGGAGAAAAAGGAAGACATGAAAAAATTGTGGTAGGGCTGACAGGACAACTATGAATTAAGTACCAGTTCTTTTAAAAAGGACTATCTTGACTTGGGCCTTGGAAGAATGAAGGTGGTGGTCTCCCTGGTGAGCAGTGGAAGGAATCAGAAATTCGGATATTCCTTAAATAAGAATTTATTGACTCTTAAATAATTTTGCTTATATACATTTAAAAAAACCCCTGGAAAATCAAAAAAAAAAAAAGAAATTTTATGCTTCCATGTGAAAACATAGTAATATTCTAAAATATCATACATATAATTTTCATTTTAAGTCCATCAAAATACATACTACTATTTTTTTAACTTTTTAAAAAATAATAATTATTATTTTTCAATTTTGACCAGAGAGAGAGAGAGAGAACCATCAGGTCTGGGACTCAAACTGTAGTTGGCGATGTGGGAGTCCAGAGCCTTTAACCTCCATGCCACCTGCTATCCCCCATGCTACTATTTTAAAATCGACGGTACAGTTTGAATCAGCCATTGCAGGTTGTGAAAACTACTTAAGAAGCATTAAAAAAAAAAATCTAAGGCTAAGGTTACATGATCCAAAACAGTACCCATTAGCTAGATGTGCCTGCCATGCAATGGAAATGCAGCCGGTCTGAACTGAGATGTCGTTACTGTAAAATAGCAGCAATCTCAAAGACTTAGTATGAAAGAGAGCATGTGAAATATCTCATTACTAATTTTAATGACTTAAAAAATTGAAAATATTTTGTGTATTTTGGGTTAAATAAATTATTAAAATTAATTTTATCTTTTTTAAAACTTTTAATGTAGCTACTAACAAACTTTTAAATTACTCATGAGGTTCCCTTTCTAGTACAGAGCACCGTTCTAAGGCCAAGGATTGACTTCCTTAATCTTAAATTTTTTATTAGCTCTTTTTTTTTTTTTGAGAGATTTTTGCTATAGGGCATGTGTGCTTGCCAGAAAGAGAGAAAGTGAGAAATTACCCCCCAGGGGGATGGCCACACAGCAATCCCTTCTCCATTTTCCTCTCGGGATCTTGGGCATGCAGCACACATGTCTGGCTGAGTTTAAGCCACCTGGCCTGGGACTTGAACCGTAGTCAACCACATGGGAGTCTAGCGACATAGCCATTACTCCAACTACTAGTTCCAATTTTTTATTACCTCTTTAGAACACTTTTTATTGCTTGTTGCCACTGAATAAGGTACATTATGGTTTGAACCACTTTTTTTTTAGAATTATTTTATTTAACTTTATTTACAAAAATTTGACCAGAGCGGGAGAGGGAGAGAGAGAAGTAAGTGAGAAAGCAAGCTGTCAGGTCCAGGACTTGAACCGTGGTCAGCCATGTGGGAGTCCAGCATCCTTAACCATCACGCCACCTGCCAGACCCCTCAATCTGAGTGGTTTTGATGGCTTATTTAAAAGAACCTGAGTGATCCCTTTCATTTAGTAAGGGTAGGGCTCATCTACCAAGGGTATATCTAGAGATTCAATATGGGAACTATAGTTTTTTTGTTTTTCAAAAGAGTTACATATTTACTTTTATTTATTACTATTATTATTATTTTAAAATTTGCTATGGGGCACATGTGCTCACCAGAGACAGAAAGAGAGAGAAGGAAAGTGAGAAAGCAAACCACCAGGTCTGGGACTTGAACCATAGTCAACCACATGGGAGTCCAGTGTCTCAACCACCATGCCACCTGCTGGCCCCAAGAGAAGTCTAGTTTTGTAAGAATTGTTCTATCACACAAGAATAAAATAAATATTTTCATTTCTTGTCTTTGTTTCTCTGTTGCAAATAATTCAAAACTTTTTTTGGCTAGGATGCATTGAATGCAAAAGTACACCTATATAACTAAGAAGGAAGTTTTTAGAGAAAGCTAATGAGTTTTCCAGAGGTTAGGAGGTGATGACATTCATGTTCCATTTGTAGTAGGAAGAACTTATGTGACCTAGAATTATTATTATTATTATTTTGGAGAGGTTTTTGCTATAGGGCACGTGTGCTCACCAGATAGAGAGAGAGACAGAGAGACAGAAAGCAAGAAATCACCCCCTGGGGGAATGACCACTCCACAGTCCCTTCTCCATTCTCCTCTCGGGGTCTTGGGCACACACATGTGCCCGGCATGAGTTTAAGCCACCAGGTCTGGGACTTGAAATGCGATCCACTACATGGGAGTCCAGCGACACAGCCATTATGCTAACTGCTGGTCCCAGTGACCTAGAATTCTTTACCTCTACTCTCTCTTTTATAGAGAAACAAATTTGTAATATATCTTATATTGCCTCGGAATAGTAATATTTTACTTTTTCTCTGTTTTGTAAACATTTTATTTTCCAGTGCTACTTTGAGGGTAAAATGAATGGTGAAAATTGAAAGCTACAAAAGAACTTCTTTGTGATGCATATAATCATTCCTGTAAAAAGAGCTCTGGAATTTCATCCTGGTTACCAGAAAAATTCTGGTAAGAGCAAGGACTTTTTGAATCTTGTAAAGTATGTGGGGAATTTGAATATTTATAGAGACTGTATGGTTTCATGAAATTCTGTATGCCTTAGAGAAGAGTTAATTTTCCATTTAAGGTACTTGGTAATATGGGTATAGTTTAGTATCTTATTTATCCTGTTTGTTAGGTTCTGCCTTCAAGTTTCTGATTTAATTTGATTAACTGAGAAACATAATCTCCATTTCTTCATTCTTTTCCTCATTCAGTAAACATTTATTGGCTGTCAGCTGTGAGAGGTTTCCTAATAAAGCAGGTGTTTCCACCACAGCATATTGATGTCTGGGGCTGGGTGATTGCTGGTGGCGGGCTGGCTGTTCTGTGCATTATTTTTAGCATCATTCCTGGTGCCAATAAACCCTCCTCCCCATTATGACAACCAAAAATGTCTCCAGACAGTGTCAAATGTCCCCTAAGGAGCAAATCCTCACCCCAGTTGAGAAGCACTGATGATAATGGGAGAGACAGATGGGAGTTGGTGGTGGGGGTGGGACAGAGGCAGGAGGATGGCAGTTGGGAATGGGAGACTTGAATGGACATTGAGGAAGAACAGAGACGTCTCCACGACTGGACTTGGAGAGAGGAAGAGTCAGCAACAACTCTGGATTGGGCATCCATACCGGAGTGGTTGTGGTATTCCTGCAGAAAGCAAAAATAAAGGAGGAAGTGATAGAAAAGAAAAGAAGATTTCAGTTTCAGATTTATTGGATTTGACTGGGAGTATGATATTCTCTAGGAAGTGAGTTCAAGGGCCTGGGATGTAGAAGTGAGGTCAAGACTTAAAGGTGGACTTAGGAGACATCTTAATACTTGATACCAGGGCAGAAACATTGTCTTTTTAAAGGGAAAAATCATTTACCTGTTGGAGAAAAAGATGAATTGGACAATTAAAATGCAACCGAATTGTTTTGTTAAAGATTTTAAAACTTTTCACTAAGGTTAAACCGAAAGAAAAACTAAAACAAAACAAAACAAAAATCTCAAAAAAAACCAAAAAACCCTGCAAGTATCAAAAATATTCCAGTGGGACCAGCAGGTGGCATAGTGGTTAAAGTGTTGGACTCCCACATGGCTGGCTGTGGTTCCAGTCCTGTACCTGGTGGCTTGCTTTCTCACTTGTCCTTTCTCTCAATCTCTCTCTGTCACTTTGGTCAAATTAAAAAAAGAAATAAATAATAATAACAAAATTAAAGAAATAATTTTAAAAATATTTCAGTATATTTGGTAGTTGACTAAAAGAGTGATGGAGGAGGAAAGGATCTGCAAAAAGGGAGAGGGAAAAAAGTAAAGAAAGAAACGACTCAAACAGGGAGGTGAAAGTAAAGGAGAGTAAAGTAGGATGGATGGTTCATTCATGTACTGTTTTTTGACTGCCATTAACCATTGTGTGATGTTTTTGTTGTTTAAAAAAAGTTGTAGAAATTTATACATTTTTGCAAACCCACTTTCTTCTCTAATATTTTAGCATAAAAACATTCAAATGCACAGAAAGTTTGAATGAATTTCCCATTGAATACCCATATATCAGCTATGTATATTATCTAATTGACATTGTATTATACGTGTTTATCTACCCATGCATCCATTAAAGCCTATTGGTTTTTTTGATGCATTTTAGAATAAGTTGCAATACACTTAACTACACAAGCATATACATTATGAACTAGAGTTCATCATTTGTTTAATCTTTTCCAAACTTTTTCTTTCTATACCAGAGGGTACATGCACTTATATGAGAAAGACAGAGAGAGAGAGAGAGAGAGAGAGAACTTCCCATTGAGGACTGTCACATCTCAGTCTTTTTTCCTCTAATTCTCTATTCTATCAGGATTCTGGGCATGTACATTTGTCCAGAGATTTTTTTCCCAAGCCGAAGGGGTCAGGACTTGAACCCTGGTCAGCCATGTGGGACCTGGTTTCCTCTGTGAGGTTCCTAATTGCTAATGCTATGAGCTAATTCTCCAACCTGTTTTTATTTTATTTTATTTTATTTTATTTTTTAAGAAAGGAAAGCATCTGTCCACCAAGGAGGATGAGCATGTTGTAATCCCTTTTCCATTCTTCTATCAGGATTTTGGGCATGCACACACATGCACTTGGCATGTTTTTCAAGCTGCCACATTCAGGATTCGAACTGTGCATTTGTTCATGTGGGACCCAGCTGCCTTAACCACTATGCCATCTGGCTGGCCCTCTAATCTACTTTTATTAATTTTATTTAAAAGTTTGTACTCAGGGGCCAGTAGCTGGTGTAATGTCTATGTTGCTAGACTCTCATGTAGCTGACTGCAGTTTGAGTCCCGGACCTGGTGGCTTAAACTCACGCTGGACATGTGTGAGTGAGTGCCCAACATCTTGAGAGGAGAATGGAGGAGAAGGATTGTGGCATGGCCATCTCCCCTGGGAGGTGATTTCTTGCTTTCTGTCTCTGTCTCTCTCTGTCTTTCTGGTGAGTACATGTGCATTATAGCAAAAACCTCTCCAAAAAAAGTTTATATCTAATTCCTTCTGCTGGAAGATAAATAACACTGTGTTTTATTTTAGTTTAGTTTAAATGTATTTATTCTTCCATGAGTGAGCAAGAGAGCAAAAGAGATAGAAAGCTCTCTCAACAGAGTTTTGACACTGCAATCACTCCCAGCTTCAGACAGCCCCTGAATTATGGGTACATATGTGGCTAGTGTACTTCAGAAGATCTTTAAACTTGAACCGAGCCTCCTTCCGGTCCAACATCCAGTGAAAAGCCAGAATCCCATGTATATCTGAGGTGGGCTTTCCCTGCCCCTTTAACCCTAAGAAGCTTCTGTCCCGAACCCCTTCTTCCAGCCCAGCACCCAGCAAAAAGTCAGTAGGGTGGTCTCTGTCTTCATTCTGTCTCTGTCTCTCTCCCCGCCTCCCTTTCTCTTGAATATTTTCTCTTATATAGATTTTTTTTAACCTGTAGGTACTGTCTCTTGCCCCTGATCTCTCCTTTCTCTTGCTAATTTCAGAATCCACATGCATCTGAGGTGGCCTTTTACATGGCACGTAGTTCTCTTTTTTTTTTTAATAAAATTTTTTCCCCTTTTTATTGTTTTGGGTTTTTTGTTTGTTTTCTTTTCTTTCTTATTTTTTTCTTTGTCTTTTTCCCTTTGTTTCCTTTCTTTTACCTGACTTTCTCATCTTCCACACATTAAGTGTCTAGGTAGGTCTAGGTGCACAGTAGCAAAACATCTGAATACTTTAAACTACAGCTCAGCCCATGTGGTCCTATTGTCTTGAAACTATGAGGCTTTTATTTATTTATTTATTTTTTTGAGAGGAGTTTGCTATATGGCATGTGCGCTTGTCAGAAAGACAGAGAGAGACAGAGAGAGAGAAAGTGAGAAATCACCCCCCAGGGGAGATGGACATGCTACCACCCCTTCTCCTCTTGGGATCTTGGGCATGCATGCACACGTGCCTGGTATGAGTTAAGCCACCAGCTCCGGGACTCGAACTGTGGTCGACTACATGGGAGTCCAGCAACATAGCCCTTATGCCAACTGCTAGACAGTCTCATGAGGCCTTTTTAATACCTAGTTCCATTGATAAAAGTGCAGGTCGTTTGGTGAGGATCAGGGAAACAATACTGCAAGCCATCTCCTTCCACATGCCTCTAACACTCAGAATTAACTCCAAGAAGGTGGGAAGTAACATATAATCCATCAGATGACCAGAAATCACCACCACAGAGGCACAAGAAATATGGGAAATCAAGAAAATATGTCTCCCCCAAGGGGAAGAAACAGCCCTTCATCATCCACCAACAGTACAATGGAACTCCTGGAAATGTCAGATAAAGATTTTAGGATAGTCATAGTGACAAAGCTAACAGACATGCAAGAGAAGAGAGACAATGGATTCCAGAAGAAGCAGGAATAAAGAGACAGCGAGTTCAGGAGGTGAGGAAGTTCTTTCATGATCCGAAAGAGGAAATACACACCATGAAAAAGAATCAAATGGAACTGTTAGAGATGAAGGATGTAATACAGGAAATCAAAACCTCCCTTGATAGTATTAAAAGCAGATTAGATCATGCAGAAGATCAGATCTCAGATGTAGAAGATAGAACCTCTGACCTAGAAAAATTTACCAAAAACACTCAGAAAATAACCCCTCAAAGTAGGAATAATACACGAGTAATACTAGATACCATTAGATGCCCAAACATCCAGATAATTGGTTTTCCAGAAGGTGAAGAAACTAATCAGGGCATTGATAATCTATTCCATGAAATCCTGGAAGAAAACTTTCCAAACCTAGAGAGGCAGTCAAATATCCAGACCCAAGATATACAAAGGACCCCACATAGTATCAACCCAAGAAGATCTTCTCCAAAACCAAGGAGAGAGATAAGATACTAAAAGGATATCCCATCAGGCTAATATCGGACCTCTCATTGGAAACAATGCAAGTCAGGAAAGAACGGGAAAATGTATTCAAAGTGTTAAGTGAAAAACAATTTCAACCAAAAATACTGTATCTGGCAAGATTATCCTTCATGTGGGAAGAAAAGATAAAATCATTCTCAGATAAACAAAACCTGAAAGAATTTACCAACACCAGACCAGCACTTCGAGAAGTTCTGGAGAGAGTACTATAACAGGAAAACTAAGACAAATAAGAGAACAAAGAATGACCAAGAGAAAGGCCAACTTAATGGTAAGGACAAATTCTGAATGTTCTAATGTTGAGTGTTAACGGAAAGGTCAGGCTATAGTAACACCGCCAATTTAACAAAAGAGATTACCTGAGACTGAATTGGTGCAATAGAATTCTGACTTTTTTTTCTAAAACATTACTGATTTTCTTCTATGCTTTGTCTCCCAGATTTAAGGATTTTTGTTTTCTTTCTAGTTGTTGGGTAGTTGTTGGGTACAGCAGTTTAAGAATTTTAAAAATTGAAACATAAACTTTTCTCCCTTCCTGACCCCTATGCAATTGGAAAATATCTGTGGGCATTCTTATTTTGTGGCAGAATGGTTTTTTGCATAAGTTCAATAATATAATGGTATCCGTTGCCTTGTATCAGAAACTGAAATCTTATGGGACTTTGTATAAATAAAAGATCAAATTGAGATTGACCTAATTTTTTTTTTTCAAATAAGTTAGTTTATACCTCTCTTTAGTAAAAGGGGGAATGGAGAGAGAGGAAAAAAATTTTGTTTCACAAGAAAATTACAGTGCACTTGTCACTAGATTCTAGCTTTGTCCATATGTTAAGATCTTTTGTAAATCAATAAAATGTGGGGAAAAAAGTTTAGTATGGAAGGGAGGAAGGGGAAGGGAAAAATAGGTAAAAGTATGCTAAATCGACAAAAAATGAGAAGCTATTTGGTGATGATAAGGTATATGGTAATATCCTTTTCTTGACTGACATGCATGGTTTTTCTGTTGGAAAAAGAAATGTATACTGTGAAGCATGTGATAATATGTAAATTAAAATTAAAAAAAAATTGGGAACCAGCAGTTAGTGTAATGGCTATGTCGCTGGACTCCCATGTAGTCGACCGCCGTTCACGACCCGGACCTGGTGGCTTAAAACTCACACTGGGCGCGTGTGCATGCGTGCCCAAGATCCCAAGAGGAGAATGGAGGAGAAGGGATTGCGGCGTGGCCATCCCCCCTGGGGGGTGATTTCTTGCTTTCTGTCTCTCTATCTCTCTCTGTCTGTCTGGCGAGCGCACGTGCCCTATAGCGAAAAACCTCTCAAAAAAAAATTGAAAAAAAGTTAAGTTAAAGGAAAATAATAAATAACAAATTCGAACCCAGAATCTTTCCATCTGGGTCAGCCTCCTAGAGTGTCTTGTTTTACAGCCACAACATTGTCTGGCCTCTGCATTTTATTTCTATATGATTTCTTTTCATTAAAACTTTTTTGGATGCTAATTCTGAAGACTTCTCTCAACAATTACACTAGACTAGATTCTTAGACATAGGAGCTGATCACATTTGCCATTTTTCTCTTTATGTTGCCGCCTAGAATGCGGCTGAACACAAGGCAGGATCTCTATTTGTTAATGCCATATTCCAGGCATCTTCGGGACTAGTAAATACCTTCTAAATACCAATAAATGCTTCGTCAATCCTTTGCAGTTTGCCTTCATGATATTCTTACCAGTCAAGAGTAAACTCTGGGGTGTTTGTTATAAATAATTTTAGCTCTAAATTCGTAGGTTCAAGTATTCCCTCTGTGGCTGTGGCATGGGACAAATCTTAGCCTCTCTGCTTATGCATCATTAGGCTGAGAGTACTTACCCTACATTCGATACCCTCACTTGTGAGTTTCAAATGAGCCTCTGCCTGTAATACAGCTTTGTCAACTGTGACCTGCTGCACAACTGTCACCTATTGTCTCACATTCAAAGGATGTGGGAAAAAAAAATCAGTAGTCCTCTCTCTCTCCCTCCTCTCCTTTGGCTCTCCCTCCCTCCCTCTGTTTGTCTCCTGAACTTTTAGATTCTATCACAAGAGCAAATTACAAGGAAACAAATAGTTTAGAATCAAAGATATTCTGTTAAAGAAAGCAAAAATCAAGATGCAAAGTACCTCAGCAAAGAAGCAGAAAGTTCTAACAGCCACAGACAAATTGTGCCCTCTGAGGAGCCTAGATTCTAGAAGAAAGAAGAGAGCAGCCTTGTGAAAGAGGTGACACAAAGGCTTTTCAATACTCCGGGATTGCTAGGAGACTGGGATATTACCTTGGCAAAGTTATTAAAGTTGATTTCTCTAAACCATTTATTCCAAAAGGCCACCTAAGGACAACTGGCTATCTGTCCTTGGTTACATTTCTTTTTAAGAACACAGTTTGCAAAAATTAGTAATGATTGCTATATAAACTTACACCCAAGACCTATAGGACCAACTTTGGTTTTGCCGGATAAAGATGGTTAAAGAAGGAGATTTAAAATATTGGTTTATGATGTACAAAGGAAGAATACACATTTGCTTGCGAGATTTTAATCGGATCATATAATATACAACACTTTTCTCTGGATTTGCTTTAAATATATTAACAATTTGAAGAGCTATTCCATATTTTCAAAGTGATTAGCAATGCATTTTTAACATTCATTGATAGATACCACTGTAATCTGGGTTTACTGCTTGAAACGTCTGTAGGTACCAATTATATTTAAAAAATACTTAAAAAATATAGGTAACTAAATTTAAGAAGTCATTAAAATAGTGATGAAATTTCCTAGGAGGAAAAGCGTTGATGCTAATATTGAGGCCAGGATGTTAAAAACCTCCTTTACAGGACAAAGTGTTCCAGGAAGGGTTTACTTGGGAAAGTGGAGGCTTATAGCATATCTGATTTTGCCTGTTTTGTGCCAAGGGTTTTTCCTTTTTGTCTTTTTCCTTTTAATAGGCAGTCACAATAGTGACATGTTTAATATTGATGAGTTTGACCTCCTGGGAGTTATAGTATAGGCACTCTTTTGAATACAAATGCCGTTTAATTTATATGGTAAACCCATAGAAATTTGGAGATTAGCATTTTAATCAATACTAATCTCAGTATTTTTTGCTTCCCCCATCTCTGTTTCTTTCTGACACAAAAAACTTGATAAAACGACTTTGAACAGGACAGTTTATGTCTCAAACATAAAAGCAGCTTGTGTAGTAACCTTTCGCAAACCATAAACTGTTCAAGAAGATGATCAATATTAAAGAAATAGAACAATCCATTCATTCAACAAATATTTATTGATGAACCAGGCAGGAGCAGGCAGATTGAGGGTGGGGTGGGGTGGGGTGAACGGGGTCGTGATATTATGGCACCTCTAAAATGGAATTTGGCCTCAGTTTTTCCCCGTGTAAAATTTTTTTTTCTTTTTTGTTTAACTTGTCTTGTGGCAGGTCCCGGGGCTTTGAAGTTCGTTGTGCATCTTCCAACTGACGAGCTCCTCCGGCTGGAACAATGCATTCGATTCTCACGGTGGAGATTAAAGTCCCCAAGATAGAGGAAACGATTTTCGCGCCCCGATTCAGCGAGGAGCGGAGCTGGGGCCAAGGGG